CACATCGACTGCTATCATGAACGTCGCCAGGAACATCGCTGAGAGGAGGGAATGTCACGGAATCTTCAAGATGAAGGCTGAAATCGATGCTGGAACTGCTTCTTCAAGTACAAGCGCGTAAATAACGCCTTGAACATGGCATCTGTGATTTGCTGATGGCTGTGCAGTTTGAATGCGTGTTCAAGTTGAAGACTACGTTCAAGTTGCACATTCAGCATTACATGTTTGAATAAGAAACACAAGAGCAACTGAGCGAATAGCTCTAACTAGCTTTAGCGCAGATTAGTTAGTGAAGCGTCTAAATTCAATCAGATCTCATTTTACCTGCTAACTAGCAAACCAACTGACAGAGTACTGCGAAGGCATCTTTCCTGAGTCCGTCACTAACCCGACCTCTGCTAAGTGCTACCATATCATAGCGTGACGACGCTATTGTGACAATAACGGAGGTGGATCCACCGTCATGGAAGTCAACATCTATCGTGCTCCTTACACGAAAACACAAAGTCCAGAAGAAATTCGTTATTGCCTTCCCAAAGCACTATGTTACGAGTGCATCGCAGGGATTAAACTTTACAGACAATCGTTCGCGGGCGATCGCAAATCGGGCAGAATTGGAATGTGTATCAAGAAGATGGGAGCATTTGCAGAGAAAGACTTGATGGCAATGCGAGACTGGCATGACGAATTCCCTAAGTCGTCTGCATTAAAGGATCTGGCAGAGTGGATAAGAGTGTCTAGATTCGTAAGAATATCTTTGCCTAGTCCACTTAGCTACTGCGCAACGGTGAACATGGAAGCCTCCGCAAAAAAAGGAGACGGTAGACATTGAAAGGACTATTGATACAAAGTTCGGAGCAGTGGGAGTGCCCGACCTAGCCTATTTCAGAAGATCCGAGTGGCTTCATGATTCATATTTGAAGTTGGTGTTAAGTCACCTCATGGATCAAGATCGCGATGACCAAGGGCAAAGTCGTATCGAAGGCGTCAATCCATTGTGCGCCACATTGCACGACGAAGCCATGAAGCTACAGACGATCGAAACCTCCCCGTTTGATTCGAGCAACCGTCTCGTCTTAATTCCTGTATTTCTAGACGGACATTGGGCTGGAGCTGTTTTGGATTACTAGAATGGAAAGTAGGTGATTTTTGATCCAATGCAGACCGCATACTACTACAAAATTGTTTGCATCGTATTGGACAAGTATTTTGGAAAGTTTGCAGCCGACCTCAAGCCGATTCGACAGCGGGCACCCCGTCAAGAAGATACGAATAGCT